GAGAGGGAGGGGACTCCTTCATCAGAGCAGGTCACTGTGATGTTATATATAGAATTAATCTCCCTGTCTAATTCACTGTCTGTCACCAAAGTGAAGAAATTACTTGACGTTGACTTAATTTTGAAATTTACATGATCATCTAAATTGCATTGCACTTTGCCATTTTCCTGTGAATCTGGATCCTGAATGTTCAGCATAGTCAGAACAGTGCCTGGCTTAACATCTTCAGATATAGTTGATAATGTTGACATGATATTAATAGATGGTGGATTATCATTTGTGTCCAACACATGAATTATGACTTTACACACATCTGTGTTACCACCTTCATCTGATGCTTGAACATCTACTTCATAATGTTGAAATTTCTCAAAATCAAGCCGTCCCACTAATCTAAAGTCTCCATTTTCTTTACCTATATCAAATAAGTCTAAAGCTCCTTTTGGAACATTAGAAATTGAATAATGGATGTGCCCATGTTGACCTTCATCTGCATCAAATGCTTTCACTGTTGTCAGCACAGCCCCTTTGACTGAATTTTCTTTTACATTAGTCTTAAACTCTGCTTGAGAACAAACTGGTGCATTGTCGTTTGCATCCAGCACGTTCACAACTATTTGAATTGTTCCAGAAAGCTGCGGGTTGCCACCATCTAAAGCAGTCAATACAAATGATATCTGATCCTGTTTTTCTCGGTCTAGAGGTTTCTCTAAAACCATCTCAACATTTCGATTGCTCCCTATTTTATAGGGATTTAAAATAAATGTGTCACTAACACTCAACGAATAGCTCTGGAGTCCGTTGATACCCACGTCACCGTCGTGAGCTTTTTCTAAAACAAATTTAGAACCTACTTGAACCGTTTCACTCACATCAAATTTTATTTCTTTGTTTTTAAAAGCTGGCGCATTGTCGTTGAGGTCTGTGATCTCAACAGTTATACTGTAAAACTGCATGGGATTCTCCAAAATTATTTGAAAATCTAGAGCGCAGGGCGTCGTCTGGCCGCAGAGTGCTTCTCTGTCTATACGTTCTTTGATAATTAGGAGTCCTCTTTCTTTATTTAACTCGATGTACTCTGTACTGTCTCTAGTGTATATACGAGCTTTCCCTGCTTTCAACCTTTGCATGTCTAAACCCAAATCATGGGCTATGTTACCGACTAAAGATCCAATAGACATTTCCTCAGCAATTGAGTAACTGACCTGGCAAAAAACCGAGCAAACCGAGACAACAACGAAAAAAAACAGCAGACCTACTCGCCGTGCCATTGTCCTCTGACAATTTCCCGTCTACAAAATAGATATGGAATCCGTTATCCTTTCGCAGGGAACACCGAAAAATATATAAAAATTAAAGGATCCAAATACATTCGTGAATGTCCCTGCTATCTTTATTTTTCACGGTATCCTTGATTCCAATTAAGTGTGCCGATATTCATTCTCCCTCTCCCTTACATCTGAAGAGGAGGAGGAACTGAACTGCTACAAATGCTTTGATATCGCAACTGACTGGTCAACAGCGTCGCTGTGAGTTAGATTAATTGAACTGCAGAAATGTTGTATCCAAATGTATATTCGCTGGCAGATTGTAAAGTGTAAATAAAAAATATTTCAAATATGGTTTTTACATAAAATAACTACAAATAAATTGGTGCGCATGGGCTATATATATATATATATATATATATATATATGCAATTTTTTCACAAAATAAATTATATATTAAAGAAGAAAATCTAAGTCAAACCAATGTTAAAAATACGTGAACAAGGAGCATTGAGTATCTGTGTATTGAAAAGAATATCACAACAGGATAACTTAATTCATCCTTCATCAAGTAAAGATGGAATGGTGGAACTCAAACATGCTTGCACTGTACGGTGATGAATGCCTAAACGTTGTATTTTAACCATAATGAAGTTGAGAATCGTTTACTTTTCAGTGGACGGACTAACCTCTATAGGAGAGTCTGGTTCATCCAGGAAGCTCTTCTCACTCTGCATCCGCTGCATGGTTCCTGTAGAACTGGGGT